CCCCAAACCCCCAAAACCCCAAAACCCCAGAAGATGTAAATGGCTATAAATACTTATGCTTTTAATATTTAATAATTAATAATTGAATAATTTAATGTCAGATTTGGTAGAGACTCTAAGATATGAGACTGAATAATTACAGCTCATTTATAAACGATTTATTGAGCTTGATTAATTCACAATTCAAGATACTTAAGCTCAGTATTACATCAATAAAATCTAGAATAAGAAAAAGACTATTGATCTCATTATGGATAGATGTAATCAATATTGGTCTTAATTTCAGTGAGAAAATACAAAGAAGGAAAGGAATGTCTAGAGCAACAAAAAATATAGCAACAAGAGATGATTGTTAAAAAGCAATAGCTCAAGGAAAAATATAAAAAGGCATTGTTGAAATTGGAGGAGAATGAAGGCAGAGATCAGTTTCTTGATGGAAGACCCTATGAATTAGGTGAATTATTTGATAGAATTAGTGCAAAGGAGATACTTGATTATGCCTAAAGACTGCCTAAGATTAAAATGAGATTTTTAAATCAAAGTTTGAACTTTAACCAAAGTATTCTGCAAAACAAATTCGAATGTACTTTAATTTGTCTTAATTATATTACAGAGGAAAATAGAGTAAAACCACCTTAGATATACCCCTAGAGAGGATACATATTTGATTAAGATAAAATTACCATAGAAAGTTAGGTAAAAGATGCAATCATTATGTATACAGTAAACACAGACTAAATTCCTACATCATTTGGGTGTGGATAAAGAGTAATATAAATTTAATGCTAATTTATAGTATGATCCTGCTTCTGGAATATTAGTGGCTTGCTAGCAACATTTTATAGAGATTAAATGTATAGCATTCAAGCAAGGAATGCTTGAGTCAAAAGTAGTTACTAAATCCTACGAAGTAAAAAAGGGTGAGGGCAGGCCATAGAACATAAATGCTGGCATTATTAGACCTGATAATATTAGGATCAATGCTGACTATGATAATGAAAATGAAAATTTGTTGGGTGATGATGAAGAAGGATAATTATAGTTAGATTTAGTATTGGCTTCACCCAGCGGTATTTTGACAACTCCCTACAATAATAGGAACACTCCATCTGGTTAAACACCTGGATATTTGATGAGAGAGTAATATTTCTTAAAAGTTAATATACAATTATAGGGGGTCACAAAATATTCTAATGAATCTAAGCAGACCAGGTTCTACAAATCCATACCATTAGCCAAAGAGAGATCATCTTTCAGACTCGAGCTCAGAATCAGATTTATGAATTTTCTAATTCTTTTCTCATAAGGATTTTAAATTTAATTTCATAATTAGTTCATGCTCATATATTATTTGAGTAGCCTCTCGGGGTTTTGGGGTTTTGGGG